GGCCTATGTCTTAGCTTTCCATTCATATAAAGCATATCTAAATCTGAGATTGATAGCTCCAAATATGACCCAATTACCAAAAAGTGTTCCTGTTTGGATTGCACCGACATCTCTTTTCTAAGTTTGGCCATCTCTTTATCCTTTCAATTTCAGTTCTTAAATTCATCAATCAATCCTTTCATTTATGTGATAGGCCTGCATTTAAAATGAATATTTACCACAAATTAAAGGTATCTTATATTATTAGATACGTTATTATAAAACATGTTTTAGTTAAGGAGTTATTGATACTTTGAGTGCAAAATGATGATATAAAACCTTGATAAAAATGCACTTTTAAGTACTAATCAACTAGGTTTTCAAACATCCTGAATGGAAGTCATAGATCGATGCATAGTATTCAAGGTTTAAAGTTTGTATTAACTTAAATATTTTTTTTATAATAATTTGGACCGTTTATTGAAATTATTAAAAAAATTATAAATTTTTACTTCAAAGGGTAATTTGAATGGGAGAGAGTTGATAATAATATTGTAAGGAGGGTTTGAGAGAATCACGTTGCAATTATGTAAGATTGAATTCAGGATAATTTTTTTAATTCTAAATATTAACATTTTACTTTGCATTTACTAATAAATAATTAATTGTACTATATAGGTTGTGTGATTTTTTATACGAGATGTGAAAGAAAGCCAAAAAATTTACGAAAGAAAGAGAGTTTTCAAGCCAAAATAACATCGCAGTTTGTTAGGATTTCAGATTGCCGCACATCGCATAGGCTGTATAGGCAAAATACATTTAGCAAGTGACACCACACATTTCACGCAATAATCATAGTCTAGTGTAGAAAATCAAAACCAGCGTGATCACAGTTTCGTTAACATGCTCCATGACAACTCTGTTTTGTTTTTTTTTTTTTCATGCAAAGTAGATGATATGATTTTTTTATTAGATCCATTTTTTATTAGTTTTTTTTTATAGATATATTTAGTTGATAACTTTTTTTCTCTTTCAGGCTATGACTTTTAGATATGAGTCAAACTCGATAAAGGTTTTCTTGAAACGCATGTGCAAATTAATGATGACTGCTAAAAAAGGTGTAGTAATTTATGGATAGTCGAGCTCGACACTTTGTGGTATGTTGGTTTTCCACCTTTTTTTTAAAGTTATTATTTCCTTGAATTTAATGAATTTATTCTTTATTTTTAATAAACATATAACAGTCGGTTAAAAGAAAGACACATAGATGATAATTCGAACAATCTGGATCATCTAGTGGATCAATAGAAACCATACATATGGACTTTCTAATATTACGACCGAGAACTTGTGGATGACCTGTAGTACTTCAACTGTTGAATGCTCATAATCAATTTCAAGCACTCAAACACTGGAGTTCGCAGCAAAGTTCGGCCAACGAGTACAAGTCGGACGACCCATCTTAATGATAAATGTGAATGATTTACTATTGATTATAAAGAACTCCATTAATTGATAATGGAGATGAGATCATAGATATAAATATTTAAACGTAATTAGCCCTATGGTTCTAATGATGACCAGACTCCTTCTCCTCCTCCTCTAGCTCCATCTTTATTTTAAATTTATTATATTTAAATGTATAAATATTTAATTTTTTAATAAATATTTGATTTTTATACTATTTTAATTATTTTTCTATTTCTATTAAATATATTTTTATAAAAAAATATTTTTAAAATATTTATTGATGGGGTTACCAATGACACAACTCTATCATTATATTTTAGAGAGTTAGAAAAAAAATTACTGTAAATGCTACTATTACTAATGAGGTTACTGATGAAACTAGATCGTCGGTATATTACAAAAAATTAAAAAAAAAATTACTACAAATATCACTACTACTATTAACTTACCTATAGAATTGTAAATAGTATTTTATTGGTAATATGTTATATTTACAGATGGATATATTGACAAATAAATAAAAAACCAATAACATTACAAATGATATTTCTATTAGTGATATGTTAAATTTATCAATGGAGTTACTGACAAAATAAAACAAGTAAATTTTTTTGGCACATTTTATCTGTTTGTAAATCCATCAATATATTTATTATCGATATGCTTATTAACAATCCCTGAATTACTAAGAAGAGTTTTTTTAATGAATTGTTTTTGTTTGTAAGACTGTTTGTAATATACATAATGATAGATTAAGTGTGAACATTAAACTTTTTTTTTATCGGTAAATCTGTTAAATCTCACCCGTGATTAAGGTGCCTGGGATCTAACTTTTTAAGTTTGATTTCATCTAACTGGATCTAACTGGATCCCTTGTATATTATCTAGCATAAATTCAGATTGGTTGTAAGATTATCAGGTTTTTTTTTTTTTGTTAGAACTACCGGTTTTTCTTGGGCTAATTTTTAGGCCATTATTAAAGTTTTGTCAAGTCTTTTCCATTGACACCAATTTTCTCCTTTTGGACTGTGCATAATTTCTAGGGATGTCATTATCAATCGTGCTTGCGTTTTCTTCTTTGAATATTTTGCTATATCTACCTTTTAGTCCCTTTCCAGAGAATTAGCTCTATAAAACGAAAGGGAAACTACTTCATTATATACCTATACCTTGAAGATGGTACCGCATGGTTTCCGCTTCAATCCAACTGATGAAGAGCTCATCCAATTCCTAGACAGAAAAGCTTCTGGCCAAGAAATGCCACTTCATTTCATTCTTGAAACAGATGTTTACGAGCGTGAACCACAGGATCTTGAATGTGCGTAATATGCACCATGTATTTCTTTGTTCTACTGCATCTAGGGCTCGTGATTTTTCTTCCCTTTTCTCTGTAATAATGGTATAATGGAAATGATTTTTTTCAAGCTTTTTTGCATGATACTATATGGTACAAATTTCAGGCTACCTATATATTGTCTAGGGTTCAAGTTTAGAGGGATAATATCATATTCCGTGATCTTGTCCATCCATTGAAGTTTACAGTATCAATGTTGAGTTTATGTTAGTTTCTACCTTACTATGATATCTGACTTCTTGAGTTAGTTCTCTAAAACAATATTGTTACATGCAGGGAATCAAACCACGCCTTTAAGCAACGGTGAGAGATACTACTATTGTACGAGGGAGATAAACTATTCGAGGGAAGTGCTCGGTCGAGGATGGTGGAAAGCTACGAGCCATGTCAAGAAAATACATGCTAATAGTGACGATCAACTTCTTGTTGGGAACAAGAGGCCTTTAACGTTCCATAGGTTCAAGGACAATGAAAGAAATCGCAATAATGCTGTCAAGACTAACTGGATTATGTATGAATACAGCCTTGAATCAAGAACCACGGTACTAGTTTTAATATTTTTGCGTGCACAGTTCTAAGTTAATTAGTCTTAATTAATTACATTCATCTTCATATGTTTGTTTCATTTGTACTACTTCCATTTTGTTAGGTATGGAGACTGTGCAAGATTAAGCACAAGGGGAAACCAAGCGTGCAAGAGGAGACGGAGAGTATGAGGAAACAATATTCATCGAGCAATGATTTCGAAGCCGGAAGTTCGACCAATTTTGTTAGTGCGCAACAGCAACAGGAACAAACCTCATCAAGGCCTACAAATTATGAAGGATATGACCATGAATCCTATTATCAATGGAACAATACGCAGCAGTACTTACCACAGTTTCCATACGATCCTTATCTACCGGCACCACAGAGTACAAGTAGTGGTCACTATTCTGTGGAGCAGCAAGAGAAGTTAGAGCCCAGTGATGAGCACCCATTTCCTAGTCTTTGGTCTTGGACGAACTAGGATTTTGTTGTCCATCTTTTTTGTTTCTTCTAAGTATCCAGGTTGCTATGAATATAAAGAAAAAATAGCTTATGCATGTTTTGGTATAGGGAAGGATGTCTCGATGCCTTACTGTTACTGTATTCATTATTGCTATGTTTGAAATAAATACGGTTCTCTCGAGTAATCGTAATATGATGATTGTTCAGTACCTGTTTATCCTCAATCTCCCCTCATTCACTGCAGTGTACTTCTTTCTTGGTGCTCAAAATAGTAGCCATACCGATTAATTACCCTTCATACATACGCTACTATTTTGGTAAAATTGGGGAATATCCTTTGCAGCTAAGACAAGAAATCAACATAAACTAAATACACATTTATTCAAACAAGAATCAACATCAATTCATTTTTTTTATTTGATATTTCTTGTGAAACTTGTCGTCATAATGATATAACGATGAATATTGCTCAAGGAAAAAAAACAAGAAAAATACACAAATTTAATATTATTTAGCAATGTGTCTACATTCACAGTAACAATAAACTTTATTTCATTATATGATAAAATAAAAGTTATATAACATGTATTTATAGTAAATTCTATTTACTTTAAAAATATTAGTAATTTTCAATAATATCTATTTACCTTACTGCATGGTATTGAATCCACACCCCCAACCTATAAATCATTTCGCTCCTCCCATTCTAATACACCCTCATTCTAATGCAACACTATTTATAAATACAAACTACAATAATATTTATAATAGAAATTCTTTGATCTACATCAATTGAAATTAAGTTCTCTAATCAAACAACCTTAAAGAGAAATATGTGATCTAGCTTAATATATTTTAAGGATAATGAAAAAATAATGTACTTTTCTTAAAAATTATTGGCATACTAATTTTTTTTTATTGCGAATTATAGGTCATGCTACACGTAGCTAGGTTGTATGTTTGTAATACTTGTACCACAAAACCCTAAGTATAAATATAGACACGTACATCAATCAATTGGCTATGTAAACCTAATTGTATTAGTCTTCCAACCCTTTTTATTTTTTATTTTTACAAAAAAAATATTTTTCTTTTAAGTTTTTGATGTAGAGTAAATTTGTATTGTGAATTGTCATGCTATCGATTATGAAGTTTGGAATACTCTTACATCGAGACTTCAAGCGCATGCATACGTACAGCTAGATCAATTGAATCCATTGAGTGAAGGAGAATTTTAATATTCAAATAGATTTAAATATCGTAACTTTCATCAATTCTCTTTAAAAATTAAAATTTATATTCAGCCTTAGTTATACCTTGGGTTTACTTTTTAAAAATCACTAATTTAAATTTTATAAACTTTAAGATTATTGAAAGTATACATAATTATTAATTTCAGAATCCATGAAATTAATTAAAGTATATATAAAATACAAACTACCATGAATACCTATATTAATAAAAAATAAAATAAAATTTAAATTGAGCTTTAATTCGCATTATTGAATTTGGCAGGGTCAAGGTACACGCGCAAATGAGTAATATTCCTCCACATAAAGATCAGTCTAACATCGTTCACTTGCTGCTACGTGTGGAATAAATGCCATGAGTGTTGTTGTATATATGTACAGTGAAAATGTGAACGCACCCTTCCGTTCATACTAATTTAGCTCCAGGAGTCAAAAGTACGTAGATTCTTTGTTAGATTTCAATGTGTAAAAAGGAAACAAGAGGAAGCACCCATGCATTTGCAATCATTGATGATGACGGCCACTAAATACCTTAAACCCACTGTAGAAGGTGCATGGAATATGGAGACTGCATCCGCAAACATCTGTAAGCAAAGTAGCAAATAATTCGTGTTCCTATCCAACTGGTAGCCAACAAGCAACCTTTACCCAAAAGACCATATTTGATGAATGGTTAGAGGGTATCATGAAAAGAGCAGAGACCTAATGATAGCATCGTATCTCGAGGAATGCCCTCTTACACGCTAATTGATGAGACATTCCAACAGACGTTGAAAAGGAGGTGGTTTTACTTTTCCTTAGTTAAACATGATTGAGAAGACCCCCGGGGTCGATCGGAATACGGAATAGGAACAGTCCATCGCCATGGAACAAGGAAGAAGAATATTACTTGTATCGTAGTATTAATATTAAGTTATTACAAGTGTGAATTTTATTATTTTTATTATTTTAATAAAAATTAAATATAAGATAATATAAATATATATAAGTTAAAATAATTTTTATGTGAAAAAATATATTTTAAAATAATATCAATTATATCTTAAAATTTTATACAATAATTTAACTATTGAATTAAGATAATATTTAATAAATAAAATTTTTTGAGTGTATGTTGAGTTTGATTCAAAGCTTCTAGTTTCTTTATAGCACATGTAAAATAACATTCTCTTGCATGGGCACATCAGATTGTTGCATGCTGAATTGAATGGTTCCTCCGTACTGGTACTTCTTTCGTGTATTTGAGTGAACTTTGGGAGCTCACTGTCAAGGCTAGCCATGGCTGGTAGGGGTTAGCATCCATAGAAGAAGAAGAAGAAGAAGAAAAGGGAGAGAGAGAGATTCTCAGTATTCATCATTCATTCATTCATTCATCGTAACTCGTTGGCTAACCATCCAAAGTCTGTTACAACCACATAAGATGATATAATTTTAATCTGGATTAATTTACAATTATCATAATCATCATTAAAATTACATTATTATCATTAAAAATTTATTACCTGACCATACAATTACAACCCTTAAACAAAACATGTAACATACCATGGAGAAGAAAACTTTGAAAAAGAAAAGGTGGGTTTTGTTTTGTGAGTTAAAACAAAAGGCACTTAATGACTAAGAAATTAGTGATGAATTATTACACAAATTCTAAAAAAAATAATTTTTTTATTTATATAATAATATTACTTTTTTACCTTTCATAATTTAAATCTTATACCTTGCTTTCAAGGGTAATATAATTTTTTCATCGAGATGTTTTTATTATTATAAAATTAAATAAAATTGAAAAGTTTTTTAACATTTTACTTGCCTGGTATAAAATACTTTTAAAAAATGAATTTTGGCATGAATCTAGTGGTGGAGCCAGAAAATTTTAAATGATGGAGAAAATTATAAATACTTGATATTATATATTTTATAAATATGTGTTATATATAGAGAAATTAATTTGAAATGCATGTACTAACTCATATCAAGCAAAATTAATTTAAGAATATTTTTAAATAAAAAAAATTACATTATAATTATTTTTTTCGAGTTTTTATATTTTAAAATTACTTAATAATGATTTCATTATTGATTTCATTAAAGATATTCTTTCTCAATATATACAATGAAAATTTCATTCATCTATTTCTAAATATTCTAGGGACTAATGAAATTATTTGCAACAATTCTTTGTTAATTTGTTGTTTTACACAAGTGGGTTAAATATAAATATTAATATATTTTTTAATTTTTTTTATTATATTTTTAATTTTTTTAGTTATTCAGTACTTCATTTTTAATCACTAGTACATTGATTACCATCATTTTTCATATGAATTTCATAACAAAAAATATATTAATTCATCAAAACTCATTTCAATTCATATTTATATGCATATAATATTATACATACACATATTAATTTAACAAATTCATAAATTATCATATTATTAAGGAATAAAACTAAAATTAAATAATGAAATAAAAACAAAAAAATAAAGGAAACTTACCTAAAATATTAAGCATAAAGCATAAAAAGTTATTTAATTAATTAATATTTTAGAATTAAAAAACAATTGTAGAAGAAAAACAAGATATGAACAATAATTCAAAAAAAGAAGAAGAAAAGCTCGTTAAATTATTATATTAAAATTTTAATATAAAAAATATTTTAAAAAAAGATTAATGAGACAGTTACTCCCTTAATTCTCATGGTGGCTCCGCCATCGTATGAAGTGTAATTATTATCAAAATAATTGGAGGGCTTTTTAGTTCTTTTATTATGTTTTTATGTTAATATTATGTGGGATCAGAAACATTTATATATTTATATAAATTAGATTAATTTTTTAAAAAAATTGTCAGTGTATACAATTCACATATTTGTAAGCGAAAGGCACCCACATCTTTTGATTGGCAAGTATGAATTTTCCTAGCTGCTACAATAGTTTGACTGTTGTCTCTCTCAAAGGATAACGTTCAGCTTTGGTGGTGGTTGAATTCCCCCTCTCTTTCTCTCTCTTCCCCTTGAAAGGCTCTACGCAGTCGGAAAATGAAGGGAATCTTCGAAACCAAGAAAGAAGGAGTCGAAGATGGCTGCAGATACTCAATTTTGAGGTTTTTGGTGAAATTTCCAGACAACACTGCAAACTTCTGAACTCAACACCTTTTTCCCTTAAACACAGAGGATAAAAAAAATGAAAAATGAACCCCACAAAAAAAATCTTGCAGGTAGCTGATATATATATATATATAAGAGGTATAATTTTTATATTGGCTAGTTTTCGTATCAAGACTAAATTATTTTTTAATTAAATATATTTATATGCAAACTAACTTATTTAAAAGATATTGTGGTGATTTTTTTTTTTAAATATGATCAGGCGTTGTAAATCTGGTAAATCAGGTGTTGTAAATCTGGTAAACTAAGTCAAATATCTAAATTAGTAAGAAATGTTCTATGTGCAGGCTTATAAGTTAAAGCTCACGTGCATGAGCCTATAATTTTTTAAGTGTCAATGAAGCGGATAATATATCATCTACTCTATTTTTTTTTATAAAAAAATATGTTGTTAACAACAACAATAAGTTTCATGTTTTGTTAATCAAAAAATTCATTTTCAACCCTGTTTTGATTTAAAAAACCTAAAAAACACTATTGAAACATTATTAAGTCAATACATAACCTTTAAAAACATAAAATATAGCTCAAAACACATAACCAACCCATAAAAAAGTTTTCTCAAGCTCAAATTTGTTTTGTTAAGTGCTTTTAAGGTAAAACAACACCTAATCTTAACTCCTCATATTATATAAATAATTTGTTTTAATGTAACTTTTTCTCTCTATTTTGAAATCCAGTATAACTCCTTTCTTTTCTCCACAAAAAAAAAACTAAAAAAAATAAAATTTGATATATAAATTAAATTTTTAAAA